GTGAGCCACTGCGCCTGGCCTCAAATACATGTTTAGACTCATTAGAGTTGAGGGCTATGTTTTGTGTTATAAACTTAATTTGATAGGAAAAAGAGAACCAAACTGTATCACTATACATTGGGTTCCAACCTCTCTGTAGTTTCACAAATAAAAATACATTTGAACATACGGTGCTCCCTAAGACTTGGGCCTTGCCACATTTCTGTATTGGGTTTGGGCCCTACTTATTTCATACATTTAGTTTTCCATATCAAACTCACTTGGCATTTTAAGTGAAGAGTTACAGTCTTTCATGGTTGATGGATCATACTGTGCTTAGCTTTCTTACTGCTGGTTTTAATTCAACAGTGCTATCTATCTTAGTGTGTTCCCCACAGCTCTCCTACAAAAGGCCTTCTCAAGGGCTTTGCTAGTTTAGTAGACAGATATCATCAAAATTGTTTACTGGCAAGTCCACATATTTGCATCTTGATGATCTATTTCATCACAAGGAAACCATGTACTCTTACTGGATCACTTTGCAAATGGAGTTTTCATACTGATGGATTTGTATCATGTGATCTGGTTACTAAATTTCGTTCTCATTCTGTTGTGCTCCTTTTCATATTTCACTAAGTAAAAAATTTATTTTCACACTATTTTCTTCTGAGAGTTTACCGTATCAAAAGATTACTATGCAAAAATCTGGAAAGTAAAAGAAAAAGGGTTAACCACAGAGCTTTTTTCTCATTGTGCTACAGTTTTCCTTCCGGCTTTTTCTTACACATTATTTGGCAGAGTTTGAAAAGCATATACACACTTTGCTACTTTGTTATCAACGTAGGAAGTTTTCCCGTATTGCTAGGTTGTCTTCAGAATCTGCTTTTTAGACAGCTGCAGAGATTTTACCAAGGCAATACGCTGTAACAATTCATTTCCTACTTTTAAGATATTTAGGTTGCTTTCAGTTTTTCTGTCTTTTAAATTTTGGGTGAACATTTTCTATACATAAATTTAATTCTGAATACTAATTTACTTAATATTTTCTTTTGCTGTTGGGTTTTTGTTTTTTGTTTTTTTTTTTTTGAGGCAGAGTCTCAGTCTGTCACCCAGGCTGGAGTGCTATGGTGCGATCTCAGCTCACTGCAGCTTCCACCTCCCGGGTTCAAGCAATTCTCCTGCCTTAGCCTCCCAAGTAGCTGGGACTACAGGTGTATGCTACCACGCCCAGCTAATTTGTGTATTTTTAGTAGAGATGGGGTTTTGCCATGCTGCCTAGGCTGGTCTTGAACTCCTGACCTCAACAGATTCGCACCCCTGCTTGGCCTCCCGAAGTGCTGGGATTACAGGCGTGAGCCACCACACCTGGCCCTTAACACTTTGTTAAAACTGGGATTACTAGGTCAAAGGGTACAATATTTTTAGGGCTATTGATACATATTATGAAATAGGGTGTACAAAATGTTTTTTCCTGATTTGCATTTCCATGAGGCAGGCGCACATACCTCAAAATTAGCAATGTTGTTGTTTTCTCTTTATTTCTTCTAATTTAGAAATTAAAAACTGATTCTACTAGAAGGAAGCAACATGTATGGTTAATTATTCTGTCACCTTATCAGCTTAAATTAGGTTTGGCCCAAAAGTTTTAGGTCTATACTTGTCTACTTAGGGAGAATGGTATTAAAATAGTTTTCTGATTAGTTATTGTAACACATTTACAACCCAATTTTATTTAGCAATTATAAATGATCCAAACATCCTAACACTGGAAAAACAGCTAAATTAGATTCTTTATTTAAAACAGTTTACAAAAAAACATCAAAGTTTATGTAAAACACTCAACGGATAACCTGAGAACCCAAATAATGGACATTTTATAAGAAAAAAAAAGTTTACCTAGTTTTACCAGTAGGATCCATGTACGTTGTTTTTTCAAGCTTGACCCATTTTCCTTCTGAAATTAACTAAAAGGATATCAGATAATAAGTTGGGAAACCTTCAAACCAAGTTGTTTTTATCTAAAAGGGTTTTTTCTTTCACATTTCCTCTGTCCTTCCCCAGACTCCCAATAATCATGTTTCCTTCCCAATAACTTGTGGGCACGTTTTTCCGTTCAGAGTAGGTAGGTATTCAGGGTT